CTCCACGTCTTAATTCGATTTCTGTTTACTTCGATTATGACTTTAGCCGGATTAAGGTAATCAAAAATCAAATCTTTCTATTCACATAGAATACAGATAGAAACACATAGAATTGAATCAATGCTAAAAATTCTACATTTCTTCCAGGAGAATGTCTTAATTAGGGGTGCTCCGATTGATCGTCTACCAATCACTAACGGCCGATAATCACGTTGGGATGATTGATCGGCGGTCTCTAAAAAGGCCGATCTCAAGTAGGGTTGTGACGGTGAGGAAATTTTCCCACCAGTTAATCGACGTGTGACAACACCGGTAATACCGGTATCACCGCAGGCGGAGATGCTCCCTCTTTTCCTCGCTTTCCTTCGCTTTTAAATAGCTTGTAAAAGCGGCGTGCACATTTTACTTTCACTTTCAAATAGCGGCAATTCGGCGTAAAGCAATTGTTCGTTTTTAGTTCGTTTGAATCATTTTCAGTGACAATGTTTGGATTTGAAATAAAAATAATGGATAAATGTTGTGTTTGTTGTAAACAGCCACGGATCAGTAGCGGACTCCTGTGTGAAAGCAGTCAGTTCTGCTTCCCCTCTCACAAGAGTCACCTAAGACGGGAATTTTAGTATATTTTCTGAGTAAAAAAGTTCAGATTTCCTATATAGTTTACATATTTTTTTCCTTAAGAAGATCTGATACATGAAAAATTAAACTATAAAAGTGTATTTCTTATTATAACTGAAACTAGACATTGTTGGGCTGAATTTATGTTGGACTCATGGACATTTGTATTACTGATAAATGTCTTTTAAATATTGATACTCCATTTTTTTAAATAATTTTTTTTTATTTGTAAAGCAAGCATTTTTATGGGAAATTTGTTGACTAAAACATTGAAAAAATAGTCAAGTTATTTTAATTATTGGTAAGTTAACCAAAGGATAAAATAATCAGTAAATAATTGATAGATTTTGTTAATCAATTAATCAACTAATCTGAAAAAAATAATCAATAGATTAATCAATAAAAAAACAATAATTGTTATTAGCAGCCCTGTACAGTACAGCTAATTTTTTGCTGCAAATGATGCAGAATGCAGAAAAGGCAGCAAGCAAAACATCCACCGGATTGATTTATTCATCTTTTTAAAAAAAAAATCATGAAAAGCATGGCAAAGTACAATCCAAACTTTAAAAATAATAAAACGGATTGTTTCTTCAACTGAGTGCCCTTCACTGCATGATAATGGCCCAAAAACAGTGTTACAAATTAACACTGCTTTACTCACAACCAGCCCCAAGGGTCTCGTACATGCTGTCAACCGTAAGCACGTCAACCAGACGAACCATGGCTCCCTCTACGAGAGAAACATCCACAATTCCACCGACAGTCCCTAGCAACACAGTCACAGGGATGGTAGGAGGAACAGATGAAAATAGCTAAGAGGGAGAGAGAGAGAGAGAGAGAGAGAGAGAGAGAGAGAGAGAAAACAGCAGGAGAAAGAAAAAGAAAAAGAGAACTCTGTGGTGTAATTAACAGGAGAGGCTGTCAAACAGCCCCACACCATATAATTCCAGCCTTTCGGAGAATCGCATGAAAAAACAACAAGAGGGAAGGAAAAAAATAGAAGGCCAGAGATTTGATGTTTCATTGTGCAGCTATCAAAATGATTTTTAGATATTAAGGGCTAATGAAAAGGAGGTGGGATTTGTTGTCTTGACAGGTTGATTTGGTTGCTTGTGTATTTAACTGAATTACAGACAAAGTCTGTTAATCTATGAGCACGTTTGGCCGAGGTGTAAAGATGATGGTATCGCTTATATAAGACGCATGGGAGTGAGATGCTTCGACAACCTTAAACTAAAAATGAAGTTTCTAAACATCCACACAAACTTCAGTCATGTGCTATTTGGGCTCCAAAAGGAGATTGGTAAGTCACTCTGGCGATGCAAAAGGAGAGGTGCTCTGCTACTGCTATAAAAAATACAAAATCTGGCTGGCTATAGCTATGAATTGGGGTGCTCCCTCCGCTACCACAGGTTGGTGTAGGAGGAAACATATCAGTGAGTCATTACATTCAAAAATGGCTTTGCAATGAGCAGCAGTGCTTCTGATATCTGGCTCCCGCACTGGCCTGCGTGCCACCTCCATTCAAACACACAACTGTGTCCTGCTTCCATTTCTGGGAGGCGGACCATCTTATCTCGGGCGCAAGCTGACGATCACCCAGCGCAAGCTTCTGGCCGGTTGGTATTTGTGGCACTGGAGAGGAGAGGGATGGAAAAACAAGAGTACAGAAATGTGCAGATCCTCATTGCACCAGATTCATTTTTTTCTGCCTGCTTTGCCAGAGAGAAGAACAGAGATGAGATGTCACAGGTTGTAAGTTCAACACAGAGTAGACGGTGACTCAGAAAGCCACTGTGATGCCAATCCAGCCATTTCATCCTTGTGCCCTAGAGCGGGTACCTTACACCGAGTTGCTACAAAGAGACTATTATTTAAAACCCATTGTAAACCTTCTGTGGATAAAAAGCAGGTGATGAATGCATAATGACTAGAGATAGACAAAAGTGTTACTGCCTATTGTCAGTCCCAAAAATTACCAACAGCTTTAATGTTTTGTGCAAATAATATGTTATATGTACTTTTTTTTACATTTACATTTAATCATTTAGCAGATGCTTTTATCCAAAGCAACTTACAAATGAGGGAACAGATTAGGGATGCTCCGATCCGCCATTTTCGCCTCCGATACCGATTCCGATACCTAGGGTTCGGTATTGGCCCGATACCGTGACCGATACCCGATCCGAGAAAAATGGCACTATCGGAGCCGATACCCGATATGAATATCGGATCGGCGCATCCCTAGAACAGATGCAATCAAAACAACAAAAGAGCAAAAATATATGTGACCTTGGACCACAAAACCAGTCGTAAGGGTCAATTTTTGGAAATTGAGATTTATACATCATATGAAAACTGCATAAATAAGCTTTCCATTGATGTATGGTTCGTTAGGATAGGACTCAATATTTGGCTGAGATGCAACTATTTGAAAATCTGGAATCTGAGGGTGCAAAAAAATCTAAATACTGAGAAAATCGCCTTTAAAGTTGTTCAAATGAAGTCCTTTGCAATGCATATTACTAATGATAATACATTTTTGATATATTTACGGTAGGACCTTCATGGAATATGATCTTTATTTAATATCCTAATGATTTTTGGCATAAAATAAAAATCGATAATTTTGACCCATACGATGTATTGTTGGCTATTGCTACAAATATACCCGTGCTACTTATAACTGGTTTTGTGGTCCAGGGTCACATATCAGTGTTGTGACAAGTCCCGGTTAATCTAATGCAGTACACGTTGCAAGGTTTTGTTTTGTTTTTTAATAAATAAAAACAATAAAAAGTAGATAGAAAAGAGATACATAGAGTAAATGTTAGAGGGTCAAGTTATTGTTTCTTTTTAATTATTATAAAAATAATAAGTAGATAGAATAGAAAAAGAATAGAGAACACTAGTATTAGAGGCAGACACGTGCACACATAGACATAAAAGGGGGCTTGAGCACCTGCCCTTTTTCTTCCTCGAGAGAAAGTGCCCTTTTTTCTGAGGAGTTCTTTTTTTCATTTTTCTTTTTTTTTTATAAATGAATATATGTGTATGTTTCTGTTTGCGCACAGCTTTCCCTGTCAAACAAATAAAAAATAAAAATATAAGGTCGGG